CACTGATACACCACAATATAACAGAAACTTTCTCCCCCATACACCCCAACATAAATAAATAAAACTGTAGTCAAATAAAGAAAAACACTAATAAATAAAAACTATAACTCCTAAATATTATTATTATTATTATTTATTTAATAATATTATCATACATATATATATATATATATATTATTTCTATTTGTTGCTGTGCATGGGGGCCCTTTAGTACGATGGAGGTTTCTCTTGCATCTATTGTTATACATAGCTGACCGTTTTGCCTTCATTCACAGCCGTATATAACTCATTGCTGCTGTTTTTATTGTTTTTTGTTTTGTTTTTGCTTTTCTTTTAGTTATTAACTAACTAAAAGAAAAAAAAACAAAAAAAAAACAATAAAAACAGCAGCAGAAACAACAACAACAACACCTTCTACTACTAGTATTTACTACTACAGATGCTAGTACAGCCACTACAGCTAAAACTTCTGTTAGTGGTGTTGTTGCTATTTCATATTTATTTTTTATTAATTTATTTTTTCTGTTTTTTTTTTTGAGGTTGGGGCTTGTGGTGAGACGAGCAGCGCTGGTGTTGTTGCTAGAAACTCACGCTTCGATGCTGCTACAGCGGGGGGCCACCAGTCAACAAAGATGAGATATATAAATATAAATATATAAATATATATGTATATATGCAAGAGCCTAGAAACAAAAGCCAAAACGAAGTACTTTTGGGTTTTATCTAAGCTCAAGAACAACTGGTTTCAATATATCAGTGAATGCGGTGTACATACACCGCAATCTCGCAATGCAGCCCCAGTCGGCGTAACCTGTGTTCTGTGGCTTGTTTGTATATTGATTAAGCAGAAGTTTCAGTTAAATAAGTATTTTTAATGATAAATTTTGTAATAATATTATTTAAAATGCTAAATTTGTTGAAGATTCCACAGCTTTCCCGCTGAATTGTACCTTTCTGAACCATGACGTACCGCATGCTCTGTATATATCATATTTCTTGCAATCGGAATCTTCGGTTAAAATTCATGAATTTCGAGTTTAAATTTGTTGAATATAAATATTTTTATTGAATTCAACTTTTGAATCAAGAGGATTTTGATTTGGTGGGTGGATCTTTCAGCATTTCGGGTGGTGATGGAGCCACGAACACCCAGCGCGAAAGCAATAAACTTTGCTCGTTCAGCGGAGGGGATGTGCGTACCGCTTGGCGATGCTGCTTGCTGCAAGGCTATAGTAATGCAGGACTTGCAGCAGCTGGATGACTGCGTGGAGTTTCTTGTTCTCGGCCACAAGGTGAAGGGCGATGCCTCCTACTCTTCTGGCCCCCCCCGGTTCAAGTATGAGGCCCCAGGGAAACTCGCAACCACAGGAGCTGTAAGCGGTAACAGTGACAAAGAAACAGATGATATGTTTACAGAATCTTCTACCGAAGGAACTGATGCTGCTGCTGCTGCTGCTGCTGCTGCTGCTGCACGCACTGGGCGGTGTACAGTCACCTCCAAGCACGGCGTCAGCTTCGACTGGTTGGTTGCTCTGGGGTGTCTGAACTGTGGGGCCCCCGTAGAGCTGCGGCGAGATCTGGTGGCAGCAGCAGAGGAAGCAACAGCAGCAGCAGCAGCAGCAGCAAAGGAAGGTACAGCAGCAGCAGCAGCTCTAGCTGCTGAGAAAGCTGTATTGCGGTGTCGCCGCTGCGGCCACGATATAGCCCCTTTACATTCATCTTCTGAATCTGAATGTCTTATAGAACGAATGGAATCCTGTGGTTATACAAAACCTAATCTTTCTTCAGGGGGTGTATATATGTACGGCAGCCGCAGCAGCTACAACTTTGGCTCTGTAGGTAAGCAAGCGTGGCAGCAGCGGTTCCTTGGTGCTGCATTCGAGCAGCAGCAGCTGCAGCATCACCTAAAGATTATGCTTTCTGCAGGAGAAGGAGGAAATAAAACTACATGCAAAGAAATATGTGAACGCTGCGGACATACTGAAGCTTTCTTTTCTACCTTTCAAGCCAGAAGTGCTGATGAGGGAATGACCGTTATGTATGAATGCACCAAATGCCATCACAGAAAGGTCTTCAATAACTAAATATATATATATATATA